ATGCCTTTTATCTTAACGTTTAAGCGATACGAACTGTCGTCGTTAATTCGCTTACCTCCCACGGCTTCAATACGTAATCCCTCTTTACGTCCGCGAGGCGCTAACTTCTGAGCCATCCACTCCTCTATGAGTGTCATGGTCGATCCCTCATCCAGAAGAGCTGTTGTCTTGACCTTTCCTCTAGGTCCATACAACTCGACCGGTATAATCTTTAAGTATGCACATGCCAGTGCATTCACTGTACTAACGGTTGTAATCTGAGCCTCTTTACCCCCCCTCGTCCCCTTGTGGCGAGGTATTTTCATTGGGGTATCGGTGTAGCATCCGATGATGTGACATTCTACATCCCTCTACACCACATTTTTTCGCTTTGCACTCTAACCTCCTATGGTTAGGTGACAAACATTGGAAACATACTTTCGCTTTTTTGACTGCTTCCCATTTCTCGCGAATATTCATGTCCTTAAACTTGTAACAACTCACTATAGAGTGCTCCTTGTTGCATATAACACACTTATGTGTTACCCGACTTACAGGCTTGTCCTGGGTTGTCATAACCACTTGTCGGTTGTGCCCTTTATTATTTCGGCGTTCTAGACGCTCGCTCGTATTACTTCGGCGCATATAGCGCTCGCTCTTGGCACAGCTGCGTACACACCCCTTGCGGTGTGTACAGTTTGCTTCCTGAATTCAGGACGCTTCCGTTTTTCAGGCGCATTTTCATTGCTTAAGGACGTTCCAAATTGTTCACTCAATAAATTTAAAAACTTGGCCATCTTCTGTAACTCTGGCTCCAAAGGATACTGAGCTCGATATTCAAACCATTTAAATTTAATCATAGTTCCGAGTTTCTCCACTATGCGGCTCACTAACTCCGGTGAGTATAAATACTGTGGTTGATTCAACGCTTGTATCTTGGCAACCACGTTCGTAATACGACTTGCAAAAGATCCTATATTCCGGCAATCTTCTGCCAATCTTGGCATACGCTTTACATTCTCGATTTCGGCTAGAATGAGCATCTCAACCCTACCGAATCTTCTCTCGAGAGCGTTCATTATTTCTTCAGGTTCACACAAAGTAAATAACAATGACTTAACCGCCTCCTTAGCGGTGCCCTTTAATGCCCTCCTAAGGCGTGCGACATTCTGCACCCCTGAAAATTGGCTTCTCGTGTCTTCAAACACCGTTTTGAAAATTATCCATTCACCCGGGTCTCCATCTAACACCGGTAATTCCTGGAGGAAATGAAGCTGGGAAGACTTATCTTTTCCCGCTATCTTTATTGCACTCACAATCGCTTCGGTCAATTCTGACACCTCACTCGCGTGTGTTTTCTGTGCATTTCCTTGGTTGCGCTCGATCTCCGCCCCTTTGCGGCGTGATCCTTTACACGCTTCCTTATCAGTAATATCGGGTTGTGCTACACTAACCGGCGCGCTCATTATGGTCTGCTGAACCCAACTCCTTACGAAAGGTTCCACCTGAGTATTCCGCTCTTCATCATCCTCACTCGAGTCGATCTCCTCTTCTCGGTTGAGTCGTGCCAACTCCAATTGAGACTTGGCTAAGGCAGCAGCTGCCTGTGCTCGTTCGAGCTCTGAGCGTTCGAATTTAATCCGCGCCTCTAATTCGGCTTTCAGCCTCGCCGATCGCGATGACCTACTACCTCTCTGTGACCCTTTGTCACTAGTGTGCCCGATTACTGTCCTTGACGATGCCGCTTCTTCGGTCCTTTGACCTACTTTTTCGACCACCGTTTCACTCCTGGATATAACGGATTGTTGTGCGGTGCTGGCCTGCGTACCACTGGTGTCCGTCCTGTTGCTTGTCGTTGCCATGGACGTCCCTGAGTCCCACGTGCTTGTGGACGTGTCGTTGGTGGCTCCACTTGAAGGAGTTGCCCCATTTGACGCAGTAGCTGTGGTCGCTCCAGATGGTTCCGCCTCTTTAGCTTTTCTTGAGAGCCCTGTCCTTGTCCTGCTCCCTTCGCTTCTCCCTGTCTGGTCTTGTGCCTTCTTCATCTTGCAGGAAGGTGATTGTTGGCCTACGGTCCCTACAACCCCTTACCTACAACCCTTCTACACCCCAACCTAACACCACTACCCCTCCCCTCCCTTATCTCCCAACCCTACAACCCTACTACCACCCTAACAGTCCTATCAGCCCTATCAATCCTGAACGGGGCCTACCGAGGTGAGCCGTCCAGGGATGGAGTCGTGCAGGAATGGAATGGAGGAAAGGTTTAGGAACTGTCCCGCCAAGGAATATGACGAAACAGTCGAGCGGTAGTGCAAGCGCAGTCTCGCTCGAGAGAACTGCTCCACCCGAAGGTGTTGTGCCAGAGCCCGACCGTTTGGCACCGTTAGGTGGTCGGGATGTATGCTGTGCTCGCCGCCCAGTTGCCGGTGACGCCTCGTCCAAGCGCCCTCCTCCGGCCGCGATGCAGTCAGGTGCCCACGCGCACCCTCGCCTGGCAGCAGCAGCGGTGGATGCTTCTTCTTGCACCCTGATGACTCGACAGGAAATGCCGGACACGGTCGTCCGACAGGAAATGCCAGACACGATCGTCCGACAGGAAATGCCAGACACGGTCGTCCGACAGGAAATGCCGAGCACGCTTGCCCGACAGGAAAAATGCCAAGCCCTGCTTGGCCACGATAAGCGCCTTCACAAGGTACCTGCGCCTGGCTGCGATACGTGCCCCATGCGAGCACACGCCCCAAGCCGCAATCCCGGTTTTCTTTCTTCCGGTAGTTCCAGGTCCAGTCCTTCTGTGCTGATGACCTGGTCTTCTGGCCTTTGGTCCTATTGCTTCAGCTCAAACCTCCGGCTTCCTTCGGTTGCTGACCTTCACTCGGCTCCGAAGGTCTTCTTTTTCCACAACCAGTAGTCCACAGCTGGTTCCTTCATCCAGCTGGCGGGGTTCGGCCTTTTAATCCGGCTCGAAGGACCAATTGAAAAGGAAACGCAGCTTATTAAAGAGGAATCGAGGCTTCTCTCGATCCGGCCTCCTATAACGCCTACGTTGGGTTCGGGAACAACGTATGTGATCTCCGCAACGGAGTAACACACAAGGGCGATAACCTCTTCCTTTTCAGCAAGTAGGTTCAGACGGGGATTACGGGTCTTCCGAAGTCGTCCCGGTCCCAACGCCTTAATTCTTCGATGTGGACTGTATAACTTAAGGGATGAATTTCTTGGGAATAAAACAGCAATTATCTTCAAACCGTTCCGTGAGAGAGCAATCACTTTTCCCTATCACTTCCCTATACTCTTCTTATTGACTGCTGGTTTTTCACTTTTCTCGAACTTATTCCCGAATATTTCCCGAAGGATTCCCGAACTAATTGCAATAAAACCCGTTCACTAAGCTACCCCAGAGCTATACGCGAAAGTGAGCCGCGCCATTCGCGCGCTTGCGCAACCCAATTACATGAATTTGTTCTATTACTCTCTCACGTTTTACTTAATTTCTTTATTTCCATAAGTCTTACATCAATACAATTTATCTGTATAGATAGCACAAAACAATATCTACACTACGATATACATTACATTTTCATATCACGAAAAACCTTTTATTTATTAAATGAAATATGCCTATTTTAATCACAAGTGCAAAGTCAAAATTTCTTAAATATTTAACACAGAAAGTTAAAACAATGTTTCCCACTTGAATTATACATATGTTAACTAATACAATAGTTTAATTTACATTTTCTCTATTTATTTCACTATTTAAAACACTTTTAAATTTCTTATACAAAACTATCATTATTTCACTTATACACAGGAATTTTCACATAAAAATAACACAGAATTCACCTTTTTAGCACGTACAATCAACCTGAAATGTTTTACAAGTCATTTTTACATAAATTGCTGAAATTACAAATATTTAAATTTTTACATATTCGGCCTCCTAAGGGCGTGGCTTAGCGTGCGTCTATGAACTCACACTATTTGAACAACTAACTTTTGCACGGATCTCGGCTATCAGAAAAAATGAAAGTCTGATATACACCAATTTTAACAATATTAGGTAAATTTAATGCTTTATACAATTTTCAAACTGTAGGAAACTATTTCTAATCAGATTCTTATCAGTTATCATGTTTCTTATCAAACAATATAAGTGAATGTTCTCATAAATCAATCATGACAAATAGGCATTTGTTTTCGTACAAAACATATCAAACTTATATAAAACAATACTTATGCAATTAATTTCCGTTAATTCTGTTTATGCACAGAGTGATCATCTCGACCGGGGAACAAATCCGATCTTTAACTTTACTTTAATATTTCTTTGAATTTACATCATTGGAAAGATGATTTCAACCGGGGAACAAATCCGGTAGCATAATTTATATCTTAAATTCCTTATGAATTTATTAAGCGATATTACTTAGAAAAACAATAAACTAGTCCGGCCTGGGAGTCGAACCCAAGACCTTCATATCATTAATTCGACATTTCTTTAAGATTTAACTAAGCATTTTCTTATCAGAACATTGCTATTGGACAATATGCCTTTGAGACGTTATTCGTCATCGGTTGACATAATGAACTGAAATATTCTTATAGGCGCGTCGCCAACACACGTCGTCTGAGCAGTCCAGGGGCCACGTGGCTCACTACCATACGTGTTTTGTTTAATAACTGTAATCTGTGGCTTGTGAGACCCGTTTACGGTGAACCTCTTGCGCGGCTCACCAGTGACTCCCGTGGCTTGAATGGAACAACTAGGTAAGGCTCACCGGTGACCCTCATGGCCCAAACGAAAACTTTCGATTTTTTGCGTGGCGTTCAACGTGTTAAGTCATACTTAATTGAGAATTGATTAGGCATTCTTGGACTACGGCATATATTTACCATCAGTACGAATGTGAGCCCGTTTGTCACCACACCTTTCTTTTTTTTAACTACTTTGTAGAAAAGAAACCCTACCACCAAGTATAATAAAATATGTTATTTATAAATAACTTACTACGTACATGTGATTTTGGTGCCAATGAAAGGCTAATGCTTCTAACACCAACAGGAACGCTATAAAATAGACCTTATGATTCATTAGTCCGTAATAGTCTACTGGACGTGGGCCTATTCCATTTAAAAGGATATGCCATACTCTACGTTATGCAGGCAGATAAACAATCGCAGTATGATTCTCTCTCTCTCTCTCTCGCACCTTCTTTGACGGTTGGGGTATTTTACACGTAATCGGGATGTTTTTTGCCATCATCTATCGGACGTCATGCTTCTGGCATTTCCCGTAGCCTACCTCTTAAAGACTCCGCACACTGCAGACTTCCTATCGGGCGAGAGTTAAGGATGACTCACGCTAGACGGTATCGGGTCCGAGCCGAGTGTCGGCCGTAGCACCAAAGAGTATAATAGGTATATACAGGAAAAGAGAGCCCTCTGACGACATTTTATTGCAGACAAAATTGAACTACTAGCGCCTCCTACAAATTGAATCCGAACTAATTCGCTATATATATAGCTCTACATATACCTCTACCATAGTAGTAAAATGTATAATATTGTTCTTTAATTCGTATACATACTTAAACAGTTTTACTGCCTACTTTTTGTAATACTGCTTTTGATATTATTAAAAGTAGGTAAAACGGTTTCAGTAAGTACACTGGTATTTATGGGGTATTTGCAATGACCACTTTGCCTTGGACCACTGTCCTACCCCTGGGTAGGACAGTTGCCTTGTTGACACACAATGCATTCAATTGAAGTTAATGTTGTAGCGCCATCTTCATAATACTATGTTTTCGAAAACATTAGTTTATTATTGTCTAAGGGCTTCACAGATGTCGCTACTTTTTAAAAGAAACTAAAATTACTTAAAAATAAATTAATGCACATAATTTATTGGTGTTTTTTTATAACAAATATTTTTTATTAATAAAAACTTAACATATAAATATCATTATGATAATTGTGATATGGTCACCCTAAACTTCAAAACGTCAAACATTCAACGAAATGAAGCAACTTTTTGCGTGTGCGCATCGTTATCTTTCTTGTTTCATTGCAACCCCTGGCAGGGTACTTGTTTCTTTTGTATTACGGTTTTATACGATAAAGAACAATATTATACATTTTACTACTATGGTAGAGGTATATGTAGAGCTATATATATAGCGAATTAGTTCGGATTCAATTTGTAGGAGGCGCTAGTAGTTCAATTTTGTCTGCAATAAAATGTCGTCAGAGGGCTCTCTTTTCCTGTATATACCTATTATACTCTTTGGCCCTACCCCTGCGTAGCACGGTCAGGTGATTACATATATTTTGTATGGACACACTCACGCTATACCGAGCGGCAACCGAGTGACGGCCGAGTAACCGACAACGCTCGGCAACAACTCGGTCCCGGCTTGTCGCTGAAGATTTATCAGATTCTTCATTGTCCAGGGCGATCACAATAGCCTCTAATTCCAGATCGGCAAACTTCAACATGATTGTAGTCTAGTTACAACACTATTTTTGCTCGGATACGTATACTGCATCACGGCTAAACGGTAGTCGCTCTGTGGAGGCCGGTGGATGTAATTTCTGGCACGGGACCGGCTCGGTGACCGCGCTACGGCCGACACTCGGCTCGGACCCGACTCGGTCTAGTGTGAGTCAACATTTAGTCGATTTCTTAATCAGTATTAAGATGTATGCAAATGCACAAATTATAACGATTAGTTATCGGCCTATAAATCAGTTTGAGGAGACGATTACCTTCAAATTAAACTGTTGGTTTACTATCGGCTAAATCAGTATGGTACTCTCCGACGCGCGCTTACACGCCGATGGTATTGTCGATGGTATTTCCGATGGTAGTGTTTTTTTTTAATTTATTCTTAAAATTATTCACTTTTTTGTTAGAATCTTCTTCAATAACCTTACTTCGCTCAGTGTTTTGAAACTTTCTGTCATATAGGAGTCTGTGTATATAGGATGCACCCCATAGAATACTATATACATACATAATAGAACGGGGGAGTGGTAAAATGTCATTAACACGTCAATTATCACGTATAAATGTCAACACGAGATGTGTTTTGACGTTACAATCATTACAATTTCGCATGCAAATTTTATCTATATTTTTTTCTATTTACTAATAAATATGTATTAAAATTTAATAATGATCTTGAACATTGATCAAAAGTCCAAAATGTGTAAATTTACTCAGTCTGTCAACACAGCGAATCGGGTTTGGCGACGCCAACCCTCGTATAAAATAAAGTTGACAGCCATTCTATTGTGAATCATAGTATTCTATGTTGCACCCAGTATTCTTCGTTTCTCTTCTTGATCCGTCTCCTTAGTTGAATAGTAGCAATAATTATAACAATTCTGGACAATATTTTCGGTTTCATTAGACGATTACCTACTCACTTCAAGAGCTGCTTACTAGCTACAACTTTTTCGCAAACCATCAGCCAACATAGTAGTGCCATACTGCAGCTATAATAGTAGTATAGTAAGTACGAATGGGTCTCGAATGGGGAAGGACCACGCTCTCACAGAATACCAGCGTAAAATAGCAGCTTGACGCTGCTGTGTTTTGTATGGTGAGTGTAGAGAACCGGATACACTTTTTACTGGAAAGGAGGCATTCCATCTTAGTTCTCACGGGTGACAACGCATTTGCATTTTGATTCGTAATCGAGGATAGATGTAGATGTCCATGGGGCACTGCAAGCACTTATCATCAGGTGGACTGTGTGGTCGTTTGTCATCTTTCTCCTATAAAAAAATATCGGCTAGTGTGCACACTTACCACTAACCCGACTGTTGAATTGGCCCAGTGTGCCCACCGGCAGCCCAACTCGACTAAACTCTCGCGCGATGCTAAGTCTGCAGTATGCGGTGTATCTTACTATACACAAAAAAAAACTTAAATAAAAGCAACAAATTTGATTTTTACAATTTCCTCTTAATTTTAATGTGTTTTTCATCACGTGCGGTGCGGTGCGTGCGGTATGAAAGTAATATACCGAAATTAATTAGAGTGGTGGCTTGACCTTGTCAAGTCGACAGTAAAACTCAAGCTTTCGCTTACTGCACGAGGTGTCCATACCTTACCGGGGGTGATGATTCTCTTACGCCTTCATCACCTAGTTGTTGGGTGTTTGGAAGATGGGTGCAAAGCTTGAAAAGGGGATGATATCTTAAATAATTTAGAAAATATTAAGTTAAACTTGTGTTAGACGAAGTCTAAGAAAGTTTTGAATTTCTACGGTAAAACCCATTTTTTTTCAATTAAATTTTATTTTTATTATATATTTTTTTTTTTTTTATATATAAAAACCTACGGGGGGGGGGGGGGGATTTTTTTCTTTTTTTTTTTTTGTTTCTTTTTTTTTTTTTTTTCCTTTTTTTTTTTTTTTTTTTTTTTTTTTTTTTTTTAAATGTTTTTTTTAAATGTTTTTTTTAAATTTGCTTTGTACACCCTAATTCCAAAAGATGATGAGACATCTGCGTAAATAATTCCTCAAAAAAAGGGCAATTACTTGCATGTTTTTATAAAGGTTTGACCAACTAAGTCTGTTCTTTATGACGGCATAAACACACCATAATTTTTTTTGGTGTCTTAAACTTTATGCGAATGTCCTACTGATGATAAAGATGCTTGGAAATTATTTTGTATGAGTAATCCCACAATACATAAGTAAAAAATAAATAAAAAATTATAACGTAGCAACAGTTACTGAACACTATTAGCAATTAATTGAAGAAAAAAAATGGGTTTATTGTTAAAAATCTCAGAAATTTAATTTAAAAAAGGAAGCAGACTTCGTCTTAAGTTTAGCGTAATCATTATTATTTCATTTCCTTCAAGCTTTGCATCCATCTTCCAAACACCGTATCCATGGTTTTCTATAATTTTTCTTATTGGTGTGTGGTCAACCACACACCAATACAAGACAAGTTTTACGTGGTAGAGCCACGCTGCAGCTATATTATGGTAGTAGCTCGCACGAATCAACTCTGCCGGAAAAGAATCGCGCTCTCACAGAATACGAGCGTGCAGTAGCACTGCTGCGTTGCGTATGGTGAATGTAGAAAACCGTAGACTATTTATTGGAAACGAGACATTCCATCTCAACCGTCAGTGATGACAACGTATCTGCATCTTGATTCTAATCGAGATAGATAGGTGGACTGAGTGCACGTTCGTCATCCTTCATCCTGTAGGTGCCTAAGATACGACATACTAAAATTATATCATGTATACACGTAACCAGACCAGCGACGAGAAGGGGCCAAAAGTGCGAGATATTTGAAACAACGATCGCCAACCCGGCTGCCAAGTATGACCAATGCACCCAACTATGGGAAAGGCCCAAGTCTAGCTATAGAGATTAACACACTAGTAAAAATGCCCAAGTCTAGCTATAGACATTAACATACTAGTAAAACTGAAAAAGTATATATAATTAAGACATTTAAATAACCATAGGTATCCTAAAAACGAGATACTATAATCTGTCTTTTATTGAAACTTAGATAACAGATGGATTTAAAAAACCTAAGGCTTCAGTGGAGTTAGACGTGGCGGCGTTTTTCCCATACAACTCAAGCTAGCAGCACTCATAGGGTTGCCAACCGTAATATCAATGTCATCGTTACAACCATTCACAAGTTTGAAAGCACGGCCCTGAGTCACCTGCATCCATAGATTTCCTTCATCTCTTACCAGTTCGTCACTCCATCCAGAGGCACTACACCAACACTTTTAATAGCAATAAAAGCTGAAAATCATTTTATTAACAAACTTCACATAGGTACTAGGCAATTGATACGAAATAGGGAACCAGGTGATGTAATTCTGAAGCTAAGTTAAGCGGTACGTTAACTTTTGTGAGGAATGTGGAATTTCAGAGGTACAAGCTAACATCAAAAATGAAGTCTTAATAATTATATTAATAACTGTAGTACAACGTAAGTATTCAATAAAAGAAGCAAAAATAAAACAGGTTCTGCCGTTCCTCGAAATCGAAGTACATACATACCTAACTAATAAGTGACAAATAAACAACTTTCTCGTTTTTTGGAAGTTGGTTGAAAAAAAAAGCAAAACACTTACGCACAATACATATACAACCCGAACTATACCACATATTAAATATATACACAAATCTATAATAATTAAGTGATAAATAAATCACTGCTTCAAACGATTATTATAATAATTTAAAACAGATCATTCTCACAAGACATTGCAAGCTTAATAATTGGATATCAATCGTTACTCAAAGGTCAAGAGTCACCAGAGCTCTTCATCTTGACCTTTGTATTAAATACCTAGTATCCACGAATATGCTATAATTATATTCAGCCGATAAGAGCTTCCGAGGTGTAAAACGTACGAGGTTTTGACTCATACAATCTGTGGTCCTTACTTAATTACAAATATAGCCTCGGGCGCTCTTTACACACACATATATATATATATACATACATTGAATATCATATTATAGTATATTAGTATGCGTTCATAGTGTGACAGTCTGACTGAATACGGTTGGAGAGCAATAAATTTTATCAATACAGTGAAACTTAAACTATAAAAACTTTTATAATTTCCCGGAATAAAGCTCTGAATTAAATAAAAAATGCTATTTCTGTGAGATTATCATAAAGTCCGGTCCTACTATAAATAAGTAGAAAAGGAAAGCTGTAAATTAGTTTTAGAATTTTTATGAACGAGGAACGAGTCTTCAGTTAGTCAGTAATCCAAACTATCCTATTATATTATACTTTTGTTGCCACCACATATTCCATGTGATCATTTTACTAGTTAGAGTCGTGTACTTGTCTGCTATTTACTATGCACGATATAAATTTATCGTAGCGGTGCTTTGGATGAATCTATTGTAGAAATAAAAGCAGGTGCCATATTTATTTATCACTCTATCGGAGTGGAGACAAAAACAGAAACAACAAACATGTACAGATAGTTATATATAATTGTTTCTTTAATACTATCTTACAAAAACCATGCAAATTATTATATTACATCAATCGTTAATTCGTTGTCCTTATCGGCTATCTATCGTACGCGTAAAAGATGCGATTTTGTCGATGATGATCGATCGTGCGATGGTCAAACAGGTGTCCTATTAGATCGTGCGATGGTCAAACAGGTGTCCTATTAGATCGTGCGATGGTCAAACGGGTGTCCTATTAGATCGCGCAATAAGGTAATGTTGCCGCGCCGTCACTGCAGTGGCGCCATTTCAACAATGGCTTTTTACTGAGATGCACAGTTTTTAATCTCTCAGGTCTCTACTCGTCTCTAAGTCGACTTACCGGTGCCTCGCCTCTAACGTTGCTGCGCTCGCGCGATGACGCGTGACCAATTAGGTCATTCGGATGAGATTAGTATCTTTGATTACACAATCGTACGATCAAACCATTGTAGGATCGTTATTAAGCATTTCTTATACTCGCGCGATGACGCGTGACCATTTAGGGACATTCAGATGAGATTTGTATCTTTGATTACACAATCGTACGATCAAACCCATCGTATGACCGTCAAGCATTTCTTGTGCTCGAGCGATCATTTGCATGGTGAGCGGCTACTTCAAACGAAGAAGGCTACAGATGCGTTGTCACCTCTGAGGACGAAAATAGAATGACTTGCAGCATGCGATTAAACAGACTCTAACTAACACACTTCAGACCGATATACAGCGGCGCAAACACCGTTAATTGGTGAGAAAAATAGATAAAAGGGTACCAACCAAAAACATACCAACCATACTGCCAAAGAGGAAGTGTTACCACCTAGTGGGATACTTTTTTAGAAGAGGGGGCAAACGAGCATGCGGCTCACCTGATGTTAAGTGACTACCGCCGCCCATGATCAACCACAACACCAGGGGATTTGCAGGTGCGTTGCCGGCCCTTTAGAAAGGAGTAAGCTCTTTTCTTGAAGGTCCCCAGGTCGCATCGGTCCGGAAAAATCGCCAGTGGTAAACTATTCCACAGAGAGGTCGTACGCGGATGACTGTCCTGCTGCTCTACTGAGCACGCCAACTGCTCTGTTGAGCACGCCAAGCTTTTTAGAGGCCAATTTGGCCTTTTCTTCCAAGTGACCACGAAACTGCACCTCACTCGATATGTCAACGCCGAGGATACCGATACTGGCCTTGAAACTGGGGAGATACGACAAAGGGGTTCCATTTAGCGGTTAACGCCCAAACTTGTGTCTTCTGGAGGTTAAACTGGACTAGATTTAGTCGCCCCCAATCCGAGACTCTGTTCAGCAAAGACTCGACTTCAGATACAACTTTGTCCCGGTACTCGGAGATTTATTCTCGAGAAATATTGGCACGGCCGGTGTAAAGAGCATTACCAGTGCTGTTCATCAACAGTTGGAGATTGCATGAACCGTTTAAACGCCCTGGGATGTAACAACAGGGTCGTTTTAAGATGGGTTCCGGGTCACGAGGGTATTGTAGGCAACGAATTTGCCGACGAACTTGCACGGGGGGGCTTAAAGTGCACACAATTTGGACCTGAGCCATTTTGTGGAATCCCAAGAAGCCTAGCCCGATTGACCCTTAAAACTCTTTATCACAATAAATCACTTAAGTTCTGGTCTGACACACCAGGCGTAAATATTCTAAAACCTTAATCCGGGCTTTTGATCGTAAATTCGCTTCAGAAGCCCTGGGATTAAGTAAAAATAAATTGCGCACTCTGGCAAGAGCCCTAACTGGACACTGTTGTCTTAAAAAGCACATGTCCATCCTGGGACTAAGCAACTCAAGGATGTGTCGGTTCTGTTCCATAACGGATGAAACCCTTAATGCGCAAACGTAACACTTATCTGGGAAACTATGTACTCCACCCAGAATAAGTGAAATTGTTCACGGCTAAGCAACTCCTTTTATTCATTGAAGACATAGGGCTTAGCCGTGAACTATAGCCATAGCAGCGATCACAATAGATCTCCTAGGTCGCAGTGATTCTGGTCTCTTTCCCTAGACCTGCATAGCTGCCGCACTTAATATAAAATATCACCAGTGCTGTCATCTGCATAGCAATGAATGTTACGGGTTTTGCAACATATCATTGATATGCAGAAGAAACAGCGTTGGCGATAGCACGCAGCTTTGTGGAACACCGGCATTAATAGACTTGTAATCGGAGCTTGCACTGTCTACAACGACCTTGATGCTCCGATCTGCAAGAAAGCTGGTGATCGAATCGCACAATTTCTCGGGAAGCCTATAGGAAGGGAGCTTCGAATGAAGCGCTTTATGCCGAACCCGATCGAAGGCCTTGGCAATGTCCAAATTAACGGCCAATGCCTCCCCCTTGCACTCTACTGCCTCCGCCCATCTATGAGTTAGGTATACCAGAAGATCACCAGCTGATCGACCACGGCGAAAACCGTATTGGCGGTTAGCACTAATCAGCTGGTGATCCTCAAGGTACCTCATGAGCTGGCAGTTAACAATAGACTCCATTGTTTTGGAGGACAAGGAGGTGATGGCGATAGGCCGGTAGTTGGACGGGTCTGAGCGGTCGCCTTTTTTAGGGATCGGGTGGACGAAAGCCGTCTTCCAAGATTTTGGGACTACGCCAAGTCAGTGGGAGTACCGGAAAAGACGCGTTAAAACCGGTGCCAACTCTGGAGCACACGTCCTCAGCACAATTGAGGGGATTCCATCAGGCCCACTCGACTTGTGGACGTCCAGGGAGAGGAGTGCTTTGCGAACTGAGCGCTGTGTAAACTGCACTTCCGGTATGGAGTACTCTCACCGCGGGATGGTCGGCGGCGTACTCCCCCCGTCATCGAGAGTCAAGTTGGACGCAAATAAAGAGCCTAGCAGATCGGCTTTCTCCTTTTCGGTATGGCCCAGTGAGTCGTCCAAATATATATTTTAATTAGATCATAAAATTACAGACTTTAGGGTCAAAACAGTAATAAAGTGAAGAAACAGGTGTAATAATCGAGTATTAAACCAAAGGAGGCGGCATCGCAAGGCCCCTGTGTCAAAGGTACGAGAGTCCGACTCATACCCGTTATATAAAAGTAATTGCCATTCCGCAAGTGATCTAGCCAATCAATGGAGTTCCAACAAAAATGCCTATCTAAATCTACAAAAGGACAGCGTGACTTTTCATCTGTGATTACTTTTAACGTACTACTATCCTTAAAACTCGCATTTTATGAATATTTTAGTACCAAGTGTTGCCATCATAGTTCATGAAGTGAAAAATACGCTATTTTTAAATAAATGTAATTTACTATACAAATAAAATAAATTAGCGAAACTTTGTTTCTTTTTAACTAAGTCAGTTTGTGATCATTACATTAAGATGTGTCGTGGATCTTGTCAAATGATTTAAACATTGAGCTCAATCTCGACACGATTCTGAATATAATATAATTTAATCAGTAACTTGTAGGTAGTTATCAAAATATTATACAAAATTAAGGCCAAATCAGTCGAATAGACACTTACCATTTCGTAGCAAATGTTTGCAATTTTATAAAATAAACTGATATCGCTGCAACCTAAAGTTTCCTTAAGCTATCGATAAGTTAGTTAACCATTCGAGTTTGTCTGCCGAACAGGTTTTTATTTTTTGTTTAGATTTTATAATAAAGTAATACAAAGCAGTAAATTATGTTATTAGTGGTTTGATTTTACATATTTCCAAGAGATCCTTTTAGGTGGCAGAGTTGGAGTGCAGCTTGTAGAAATCATGAATCTTGGATATCTAAACGGACTAGCACCATTTGCTTCGAACATTTTGATAAATCATATTTAATACAACAAGCTATCAATAAAGGAAAATTAGCCGATACTGGGAGATAATGTCTAGCTGTAATTATATCAATGGATTAAATATTTTTATTATTAATATATACAAACTAATCTTACGGAATAAATCGAGTTTAATTTTGACATTATGATTCCCAACATTTCGGGTGCTTTACAACACGACCTTTAATGTCGCGCCTTTGACAAAGTGTGGCACGTGCCGAGATGGCGCAGCACAAAAGCGACTATCTAAGCGAACGGACTATACCTTAAGCAAAATTAAACTGAAAAAAAAAAACACGTTGAAATAAAAAACAATAGCATAAAAAGTTACAATCGCAGTAACGATATTTAAATAAAAAAGTTATAAGTTTGCAAGAAATACTAGATTCGCTGACAGAGACATCTTTGATAAATAAAGAAAACAAAAATTTCATTGAAAAGACAGGAACCGAAGAAATCGAAGTTTTAAAGAGACAATTTCTTTTATTTATT